AAATTATTTAAAAATTTTTTTTATAAAAGACATATACGGATGTATAATTGCAGCTTTATTTACAATAGCCAAGATATGGAACCAGCTAGCGTCCATAAGAGATGACTTGATAAAGAAGAAGTGGTGCTTGTATACATGGACTGATTTAGCCATAAAGAAGAATGAAATATTGTCATCTACAACAACATGGATAGACCCAGAGATTTTGTGCTGAGAAAAAAACAAATGCCACGTGATTTCACTTTATTGTGAAAAGGATGTTTGACTGCCCGTTTAGGCCCGATCCCAGTGTAATCGGGCCTAAATGGGCAGTCGGACATCTCTCAAAGGGTCCCAGATTGGAGAGAGTGCAGGCTGGGCTGAGGGACACACCCTTCTCCCTATACACTAATTTTGAGCACTGGGCCTCTACTTTCATATAATACTGGTTTGGTGGTGATGAAATCCTTTAGCTTTTTCTTATCTGTGAAGCTCTTTTTCAATTCTAAGTGATAGCTTTGCTGGGTAGAGTAATCTTTATTCTAGATTCTTGCCATTCTTCACTTTGTATATTTCTTGCCACTCTCTTCTGGACTGCCTAGTTTCTGTTTAAAAATCAAGCTGACAGTCATATAGGTACTCCCTTGTAGGTAGCTAACTGCTTTTCTCTTGCTGCTTTTAAGATACTCTTTGTCTTTTGCCCTTGGAATTTTAATTGTGATGTGTCTTGGTGTGGTTCTCTTTGGATTCCTCTTGTGTGGGGTTCTCTGTGGTTTCTGGATTTGTAAGTCTATTTCTTTCTCCATGTAGAGGGAGTTTATTATTTATTACACCTATAAATAGCAGGGTGGGAGGTTGGGAGGAAGCCCTGGAGTCATGAGGGAACCAGATGGATGGGAGTTATGGGGTGGGGAAAGAGGAACATCTGCAATAATCTGAATAATAAAGATTTTTTAAAAATTAAAAAAGAAAATAAATAAAATGAAGGCAGAAGGTCAGAAGAGGGAGCTCTATGCAGTACTTGTACCAAGGACACAACAGGAAGAACTCAGTTTATAATGGCTCTCCCAACTTCCTTTTCTCTTCCATAACAGACTTTCCTTTTCTAGTTAGTTAAAACTTGCACATGGCTAACCATTAGACTGCATATCCAAATTTGTGATTCTTCCTTGTTTCTGAATAAACCCATTTTGCTGGAGAAATATCTGGCTTTCTGCTTGTTAAAATCAATAGTATTGTTTCATATCAGTGCCAGCCCTTTCTGGCCAAAATTTTCTCAGAACTGGTTGGAAGACATGCAGGAGCTGCCAAGGAGAAGTATGTAGGGAAGGAGAGAGTGGAGATCAGATGACTAACCAGTCTGAAATGTACTGAGTTGAAAGTAAAGAAAAAATCAATGTCTGAAGTAGGGACTAAGTTACATAAGTCAGAGAGACCCACAAGAGGAGGTACAATATCTGGGCCCAATTGAGGAAGTTATGATAAAAAATGCTAAGTAACTGATTTACTATCTGAAAAGGGATTTACTATCGGGGAAATTGAGGGAAGAAGAGACTGAACATAAACTGCACCTATGGATGAGGACAATGGGGGATGGGGAGGGGGCAGAGGGTGGGGTGGGAACCTGGTGGAGGGAGGAAGAAATGAGGAACCTTTGTAATAATATGAACAATAAAGATTGATTAAAAAAAAAAAAAGGTGTAGATCAAGATCCAGAGCAGACAGTTAGGGTGTAATGAAAAGTAAAGACCCAAATCTCCAAGATCCCAGGGTGGAACAAATACCCCACTCCCTATCTCAAGAGCCTGTCATTAGCCCATATTTTAAAATTCAGGTTTGGAGCCCCTAAGTCAATTCTCTTTTTAAGGGGCTCAGAAAACATTTTTTCTCCCCCACACCCATCCTAATATGGCTGCTTCCTATATGTACTTTGTATTTTTGAAAGAAACTTAGGCTCTACCCAGGGTTTGACTCAGACTTTTTAATGAGCTTAGTGGTGTCCCGTGTGGTTAACTGGCACAATGTACACTGAGGGGTTACTGGTGACTTTTCTTAAGTGTGGACAGGTCCTTTCTCTTCTGTTCTAACAAACTCCTGACTCAACCTTTGAAAACTATTTTAAATCTGATTCCTCCTGTAAAGTCAGCTTACTGCCAGGGTTATAGGTCAGACCTTCCAGCTAATCACTTTGACAGCAAAATACCTTTCACTCAGTAGCCCGTGGGATAATGTCAGAACCAACATGGGTGTTAAGTAGGCACTGCCTATGTAATGTCCTCTTGCTCATTATGGAACGCATGGCTCATCAGACATTACCACCCTTCTTTTGCTTTTATCTTTGTCTTTCACTGCTCACCTGTCATTTTAGTCTGTATCTACACTGAACTTCTCACCATTTCCTAAAACACCTTTACCTTTGCTTTTCCTTCCCTCCTTAGACCAAGCCTTGGCAAGAGAGCAAAAATCCAGATCAGAACCAGTTTCATGAGAAACAGCTGCAAATCTCTCCAAGCACTTGACCTAAAGAGAAAGATCCTATTGATTTTATTTCCCTTGGTTGCACTTCCAAAAGGATCAGGAGCTACAACAGCTTCAGAAAAGGTTAGAGATATTTCCCTGTGCCTGTCCTCACTGGCTATGGGGAGCAAACTCAAATTCAGCCCTGACTACATGAAGGTGATCCTGGGAAGATCAGGTGAGAGCTAAATGGGAATCATCTTTTTTTCTCTTGGGTATAATACATGCCCTTGGATTGTAAAATTTAAGAGATGACTTAGCTCTGCCACCATTACCTAAACCTTCTACCAACCACATTCCTAGCCCACAAATCAGCCAAAGCTAAAAATAGTGTAATATGCAAATATACTGAATGGCAGAACAACCAATCAAATTGTAATATGCCAATGATATGCAAAAGCTGCCCAACCACTCTCTATGATGTGCACTGACCACCAGGGGCAGATGCTCTGCCCAGTAGGTTAGTTTGCTATGGGGGTCTGGCAGATAGAGACTGAGTGACATTGGCCAACATGCCCTGGAGCACTGCCCCAATCCCTCCTCAGCCTACTCGTGCTGTAGTGGGGTCCCTTAGCTTCTTGCAATCTGGGACCCCTAGGGGTATGTTGGAGAACCAGTTTCAGCTCTATCGCACAGGCTCACTCCCCTTGTGGGGAGGGCAGACACAAGGACTTGTGGCTCACCAGATTGGGACTAATTGACGAAAGCCGGGGCAGCAACAGTGGGGCCAAGATGAGCAGGAGTGGCAGGTAGGAGCTGCAGGTGTCATTGGACTGTGGGTTTCGCCTGATCCCTGCAGGCCACTACAATAGCTTCATGAATATGTGCACTGGGCCTCTATCATTTACATAAACTCAATGCTTAAAAAACTATGTGGGGCCCAATTTCTTTTTTCTTTTTTTTCTAATTTCCTTCCTTTGCTCCATCCTTTATCCCTCCCTCCTCTCTCTCCCCTCTCTCTCCCTGCTTCTTTTCCTTGCTCCTCTCTATCCTTGTCTCCCCATTCCTTCTTTTACTTCCTCTCTCTCTCTCTCTCTCTCTCTCTCTCTCTCTCTCTCTCTCTCTCTCTCTCTCTACCATATTGATACAATCCATTATATAACTTTAACCAGATCTGAAAAATAATTTTCTACCCACCATAAGTTGGATTTGGCACAATTAACTTTTGCCTATCCTAGTCTTGAGATAACTAAAACCCCACAAATAATGGGCAGACCACAGACTGTTGTGATTTCTCTGGCACTGAGGGCAGAGCCTATATTTCTGTCAGATTCACCATCCTAGTCATGTGGGTGTTCTGCAGTTGGGACACTGAATCCACCTTTCTGACTCACAGTAACTCTTAGGATATGGACACTTGGGATAGTGGGCACTGAATAGGAGGCCACTTGAGGCAAACTTCCACTGATAATGATCAGGAAAAGATGCAGCCCAAGTTCTGAACCACAGCTGCCATTAAGGAGCTGTCTGCCTTGTTTGATCCCCTCCAATTTTCCTATAATGCCCTTCCTTACCTTTCAGATATGAAGTCTTATGGTTTCTACTAAAAAGGAAAAAAAAAAATCTGAGTTGTCCTAAACTAATTACAGGCAGCCAGAGGGTGAAAAGATGAGAAGACAGAGGTTATTTCCTGGAGCAAATGTTTCTTCCTGATGAACTCTGCACCTATCCCAGGACTAGCTCCACTTCAGCTTTCCCCACTCCCTTCATTTGTAACCAATGTAAACTATTTCAAAGCAACTCACATTTTCTTTCCCCTCCCTGATGTATAAGAAAAGGCTTTTCATATTTTATTGTATTGTTTTCTGACTTTACCTACTAAATTGTGCACTCAAGAAACATATGCTGAGTGAATGAATGCATGAAAAATTAGCATTTCTATGCTGTTCTTAGAAAAATGATGATGATTCTACCTACAGAAGGAGAAGGTGAGACATAGAGAGAGTCAGTTGCTGACTTCATATGAGGTGGGCCTGACCTGAGGCTGAATATTGTGAGTACAAATTCAGTACTCTGTCCACCAGCACATTCCTCTTGGGTCACAACTGAACTTGGGACAGAGACAAACTCTGTCAGTGGCTGTTTTCCTTTGGCCACTTTACTTTACCTATCTGTAACTAGCTTATATCAGAAATGGAAAGGATAATAAAATTGTGCAACCATACCTACTGAACATTTAGTGAGATGGACTGATTTCTATATCTCGGGGTTCATTTCTGTTTTGCTCACAGCTGTGTCCTGGTACCTAGCACACTGGCTGGCACAAACAGATGATGATTATGTGTTTGTTAGCAAACTGATAAGTGAAAGTTGAAAGGTACACAACCATTGTCACTGTCAACTAAAAATGCTTTTCTTCTTGGTCCCAAGATAACTCCTCCACTCTGGTGGCTTAGCTCTAAGCTCTGCCCTCACCCTTCACCCTCCCCGCAGGTGGGTGGGACAAAACTTCCAGACTGGCCTGAGGTGATCAGAGACAGTCAGAGGTCCAGACGCATTGCACCATGAGTGTCTCTGTGCTGAGCCCCACAAGACTCCTGGGCAGTGCCGCTGGGCTCCTGCAGGTGGCCTCCCTGCTGGCTCTTGTTCTGCTGCTGCTCAAGGCAGCCCAGCTGTACCTGCGCAGGCAGTGGCTGCTCAAAGCTGTCCAGGAGTTCCCGTCCCCTCCTTCCCACTGGCTGTTTGGGCACATCCAGGAGGTAAATGGCAGTGGGACAGGGGAGAGGGAGGGCAAGGAGGGCAGAGGCTCTCAGAGCAAGGTCATGGTCAGCAAGTCTATAGGACAAAGCCTTGTTATGTGAGAAGCATGCGGCTGTTGGGGCAAAACCCAGGTGACTCCTCAGATCGTGGCTCCTCATCCCATGTGCTGGTGCTCTCAGTCTGTCAGATCCTCCTTCCTTAGGTAGGTCTGCAAGCTATTATGTCAGCCAGCCCTTATGAGGACAATGGCTGCTCCTTTCTTAATCTCCCTGTTTCAGGCTCACAGAACAGAACTTCTCCATGTTTCTCTGCTCATGTGTACTCAATGCCATCCTGTCTGGCTGGCCCTGAGATTGCCTGGGAAAACAGACATCATCTCATGATCCCTGCCTGTGGGGGTTCACTGCATGTGGGGATGATAGACAGGAATTTAGAGAAGATATCAGGTCCCAGGAAAAGGGATAAAATCTGGTTTTAGGGATCCAAACAACTTGTTGGCCTGAGACTGTGGGGTTTTCAGACTGGTGACTGCAGTGCTAAAACCCTGGCAAGTTACTGGCACATCTGAGCAGGAAGCTTCCAGGATGGTCCCAGGGAAGGAGCACTGGCATCTGTTCTCACCATGAACTAGAATCTCTTTACCTGCCAGCTCCTATTCTCCATGTCCCTGCCATGTGAGCTCCTTGGGGCTGAGGATATCACCCCTCTTTCTGTGTGCTCATCCCAGCACAGAGCCTGACACAGAGGCTGGGTTGACTCAGGTGTGCAGACTGACAAAGGAGCAGCTGGCAGGTTGGGTGACAGACAGTGCTCCCCAGCGAGCTCCATTAATACTAGTCCCTGGGTGGAAGGGCACAGAGCAAGGTGAGGGGGCTGCGTGGAGAGGAGCTCATCCGGATGTGTGTGTGGTTTGAGCAAGTCTTAGGAGGTGGGGTGCGACAGGAACCTGAGAAGGCTTCAGAGAATGAGGCGAAGATATCTGCAGAGTGGAGCCCCAAATGGAAACTGCTCATATTAGCCACAGAGACAACCAGAGCCCAGTGGCTTCGTGAAAATTTGGTACAAAGGACTTCCAGATGATTTGTTGATTTGGAGAAACTATGACTTTTATTCATTTTTATTAGTTTTATTAAAGGTATTATATGTGTACATATCTTTCCATTGCCCCCCCCCCACTTCCATTATGCCCTCTCCCCCCAGAGTTTTTAGTTCATTGGTTTTGCTTATATGCATGCATACAAATCCTTTGGTTGATCTCTTATCTCCCCCATATCTCCCTATCCTCCCTGCTGTAATTTGACAATCTGTCTGTTGCTTTACTGTCTCTGTATCTATCTTTTTGTTCATCAGTTTATAATGTTCTTTATTATCTATAAATGAGTGAGGTCATGTGGTGTTTCTCTTTCATTGACTGGTTTATTTCACTTAGCAAGATTTTCTCCAATTCCATCCAGGTTGCTGCAAATGATAAGAATTCCTTCCTTTTATGACAGCATAGTATTCCATTGTGTAGATGTACCACAGTTTTTTGATCCAATCATCTGCTGATGGGCATCTAGGCTGTTTCCAAATCCTAGCTATTGTAAATTGTGCTGCTATGAACATAGGGGTACATATTTCCTTTCTGATTGGTGTTTCTGGTTTCTTAGGATATATTCTTATGAGTGGGATTACTGGGTCGAATGGGAGTTCCATTTTCAGTTTTTTGAGGAAACTCTATACTGTTCTCCACAGTGGTTGCACTAGTCTGCATTCCCACCAGCAGTGCACGAGGGTTCCTTTTTCTCCACAACCTCACCAATACTTGTCATTTGTTGATTTGTTGATGTTGGCCATTCTGACAGGTGTGAGATGGTACTGTATTGTTGTTTTGATTTGCATCTCTCAGATAATTAGTGACTTTGAGCATTATGACTTTTATTGATGCAGGAGTCACCTTTCTGAGCTGGCATATGACTGAAGGAACCACTAAATATTCCTACAGTGACTTTCTTATACACTGATGGCATTAGATGATATGTAGACTTATTAAGTGAATAATACTCCTTTTAGAACTAATTTTACACATGGTGCGAATCATCTCTGTAATCCTGCAGGAGATACTGCAGGTAAATAATTCTTGATTTAATTTTATTTTGTTTTTAAATATATTTTACTGATTTTATACAGAGAGGAAGGGAGTGGGATAGAATTAGAAACATCAATGAGAGAGAAACATCCATCAGCTGCCTCCTGCACATCTCCCTTTGGGTTTATGCTCCCATTCAAGGTAAATGCCCTTCCATGTCTGGAATTTAACCTGGAACCTTTCAGTCTGCAGGCCGACACTCTATGCACTGAGCCAAACCTGTTCGGGCTAATCCTTGCTTTTATAATACTGCTTGAGTTTTTCATTCATTCAATACATCTGTAATTGGCTAAGTCTGGAATTGATGGCCACATGTTGAATTCAGATTGAAACTAATCTTTCAGGCCAAATGACAAGGGACAAGGTGGGCAGTTGAGCATGTGGGGCTCTGTTTCTGAGCTACCTAGGTTCATATCCCAGCTCTGCACATGCTTTAAATGCCTGCTCTACAACCCGATTTCCTCATCAATAATTTGGGGATGATGATGATGATTATAGCACTAAAGTGAGTTCCTATCCTATTTAATAAAATCCCAGTGACTGAAATGGTGGACCAACCAGAAAACCATGACCCCTCTCCCTGGCTGTCCCTCCATTAGTTAGCACTTAGTGGCAATTAGGCAGGCAGGTGAGCAATTAGGGGCAATCAGGGAAGCAAGCAGAGGTAGTTAGAGGTGATTAGGCAGAGGCAGTTAGGGGCAATCAGGCAGGCAGGCAGGCAGAGTGGTTAGGGGCGATCAGGCAGGCAGAGGTGGTCAGGGAAGATCAGGCAGGCAGAGTGCTTAAGGGCGAAAAGGCAGACAGGCAGGCAGAGTCCTTAGGGGCAATCAGACAGACAGAGGTGGTTAGAGGTGATTAGGCAGGCAGAGGTGGTTAGGGGTGATCAAGCAGTAAGAGTGGTTAGGGGTGATCAGGCAGGCAGTTAGGGTGGTTAGGGGCAATCAAGTAGGCAGGTAGAGTGATTGGGGCAATCAGGCATGCAGGCAAGCAGTTAGGGGTCAGTAGTCCCAGATGGCAAGAGGGATGTTCAACTGCCGATTTAGGCTCAATCCCACAGGGGTCCCGGATTTCAAGAGGGAACAGGCCAGACTGAGGGAAACCCTCTATTCCTGACCCCTGTGCATGAATTTTGTGCACTGGGCCTCTAATCTATATGATAAAAGTCTAAGTGACTGTTACCGTGGAATGACCAGAACGACTGGTTGCCATGATGTGCACTGACCACCTAGGAGCAGATGCCCAATGCAGGAGCTGCCCCCTGGTGGTCAGTGTGCTTCCACAGGGGGAGTGCTACTCAGCCAGAAGCAGGGCTCACTACTGGCAAGCACAGCAGCTGTGGCAGGAGCCTCTCCTGCCTCCGTGGCAGTGCTAAGGAGCACTGAGCTGAGCACTAAGAAGCAGCGAGTAGGTGGATAGTAAGAAGCAAGGGAACTGGATTGTGAGAGGGATGTCCTCCTGCCAGCTTAGCCTTGATACTACCCCTCCCCCAGTCTAAGCAGACAGGCAAATATTCCCTGAGGCATACTAGGCTGAGGGAAGGCATAGGCTGGGCTGAGGGACACCCCTTCCCCACCCCAGAGCACACATTTTGTGCACCAGGCCTTTGGTCTATATATATATATAAAAAAAGCCAGCAACCAAATGCTGAAACAATAAGAACAACCAGAATGACTGATTGCTATGACCCCCACTGGCCGACGGCTGGTACTGCCCTGATCAGCTCTCCCACCCCAATTGGCCTCTGCCCACCCCCCATCCAAGCCAGCCCATCACCGGTGGCCCTCCCTGATCTGGTTGGGGCCAGTCTGCCAAACTCCTATGGCCCTGTGCCCTGGCTAGCCACACCCTTGATGGCCCCCCTGATCAGGGGTGAGGAAGGCTGGCCAACCTCCCACCTGCTGGTCTGGCCCCAATCAGTCCTCATTAGGGCATATGGGCTGGACCCCACTCTTGCACAAATTTGTGCACCAGACCTCTCGCAATGTTAGAATTGTGTCTGGCACAGACCAAGGCCACTGTTCCACTCACTCTAATTTGTATGAATTTACAATAATAATGCCGATTAAGGACAAGCATGTTAAAGGTACAAAATCACTCATTAGTCTGTATGGAATTTCGCAGGGAGTATGGAAAGGGGAACTAACATCTTTGGGTTTCTAACATCTTTGGGTTTCAAATAATCGAACTGCCCTATTTCCACCCCCAACTCTGATGTCCTCCCTTCAAACCAGGAGTCCCTGCCATCCCAGCAGAGCCCACATCTGAGGATAGTTGTGTGGCCACATTATTACCTGTTCACCTACTCCTTTTGTAGAAAATTCTTGGGATGGCAGTTGCCAGGGTTGGATAAGTGAGGATGACTCCAGGGCAGCACTGCCTGCATGCAGTGGCTGAAGTGTGGCACCCACATGAGCACTGGGTATTTGTCCACAGGGTTGTCACCCCTACCATCATGGCACTATTCCCTTTATAAGAGTCTCCACTGGCTCTAGACACACATGCTCAGGGACAGATGGCATTCCAAACTTGTTGACTAGAGGGCTGACAGAGCAGTGGATGCCAAATGGTCTAGATAGGAGAATGGAAATGCAGAATACAATTTACCTCCTTTGGTCCCCAAAGGGAAGTAATGACAGTGTCCAGCAGTAGGAATTTTCAGGAATCTGTTGGGCATGGGCACCAAGCAATTAGAAAGAGGGCATGCTACTGTGCTGGAAAAGGGTTTCCAGGCCCATACTGGGCCTGTAGGAGGGATCCTAGAGATCAGGTAACATAGCTGGGGTGGTAAGAGGGTCCCATACATCAGTCCCCACCTGGGGTCATATTAGAAAGGCAGCCCCAATAGTGTATAGGACCTGAGAGCATGAAATCTTTTCCTAAGTCCTTCACTTCCCAGGTCACAGCAGGATTGTCTGCCCACCCTCACCCCCACTCAAACACAAGCTCTGTGGTAGCAGGGACTTGTGTTGTTCACCGATGCATCTCTAGCAACTAGGATGGCAACTGACCCAAAGTAAGTGCTAAATACATAGTTACCAAATAAATGAATAAGTAAATTCATCTACTCATCTATTCATTTATATATTTGATCATTCACTGTAGTGAAAACCTTTTGAGATGTCTTCCCAGCCCACAATCTCTTTTCTAACATGAGTGAGCCTCTAAATGCCCTATTCAACCCCAGCCTCAGTGGCTTGTAGCAGGTGAACACCTTGGCTATATTACACTCAGATTCTCAAATAGAATTCATAATGTCACACAGATAGGACATGTGGTAGAATGACAACCATTCAGGAAGGGTTCTTCACTTTGTGGACCTAGGTCCACAAAGATAGGGACTGTTGTCTGTTTGTTTGTGATATTTCCAGATTCTAGAAAATTGTCAGGTAGAGCTCCAATAGTGTATATGACCTGGGAGCATAAAATCTTTTCCAATAAACATTTGGTAAGAGAATGAATGCAGATAGAAAGAATTAGAGACTCAGCTCTGGCAGCTCTCCAGTCCCTGGATCTATTCCTTCTGCACCCTGCTGCTTCCAGCCCTTGGGCTCTGTGAAACTCCCTGGAGTCTTCAGTCACCTGGGCATATGCTTTATCAGTTTCTTCATTCTTCAGGGAAACAGGATAAAGTACTAATCCATCCCCACTCATAACTGTGCCTGTAACATTACACAATTGTCCTACTTTGTTAAGGCTGCTTAACAAAGTGGATGGCTGAAACAACAGAAATTGAGTGTCTCCCAATTCAAATCAAGATGTTGGTAGGGTTGGCTGCTTCTAAAGGCTGTGAAGGAACCATCTGCTCTAGGCCTCTCTCCTTGACTAGCAAACCAAGGTCTTCTCCATATGGCTCTTCATATCATCTTCCCTCTCCAAGTGACTATTTCTGTATCCAAACTCCCCCTCTGTTATAAAGACAGTTATATTGGATTAGGTGTAATGACCTAATTTCAACTTAATTACAATGGCATCATCTTCACATAAACTCACATTCTCAGACACTTGAGATTAAGTCTTCAACATATGAACTTGAAAGGGATACAGTTCAACCAATAACTCTAAGTCTGTGAAAAAAGGGTGTACACCACTCAGTCCATAACCAAACATTTATAAAACTTGTTCTGTGTGTAACATTCTAAAGGGATTTCTGAGTGAGGGCCCAAACAGAAGCCAAAATCTAACCTTAGACCAACTCTTGATGAAGAGAGAGCATCCAGATCAGATCCTGGCTCATCAGATACAATTCCAAGCACATAATAACTGCTGATGGATCCTGGATTCTCCCTGTGGCCATTCTCCCCTTCACCACCACTCCAAGCTCCACACCTAAACAGAAAGTTTTTATTGGTTTGTCTTTCCCTTGATTATAGTTCCAAAAGGACCAGGAGATACAACAGTTTCAGAAATGGGTAGAGAAATTCCCATGTGCCTGTCCTCGCTGGATGTGGGGGAGCAAGGTCATCGTCAACATTTATGACCCTGACTACATGAAGGTGGTCCTGGGAAGATCAGGTGAGACAGAAACCTGCATTGTGGCTGGAGCATCACTCTGATTGGGTACATGACCTTGAGTTTATAATTCCAGAATAGACTTGCTGTTCTACCATCATTATCTGATCCTTCTAACAATCACCCCACACCAGCTTAAGGCCAACAATGTCTGCTGAAATGGAATGCTTAAACAGTGGTGTGGGGCCACTTTTTTTCTCTCTCTCTTTCTTTCATTCGTTTTCATCCCCTTTTAGCCAGATTGAGATGATCAATTGTGTAAATTTTCCCAGATCTGAAAGGCAAATTCCTGTCCACGCTGAGTTGGGTTTGGCACCTCTCATTGTTGTTGCCTATCCTGAGACAAGGAATGACTAAGCCCCCACAAATAGGTGGGAAGAATACAGATTTCTGTTTCTCTGGCACTGAGAATAGAGAATATTTCTGGCTGACTGACCATCCTATGGATGTTCTGCTGCTGGGATTGCTTTCCTGAGCCCACATTAACTACTAGAACAGAGATACTTGGGATGGGAGGTTGAGAAAGATCTCTTGAGACAAATTGCCAGCTGACAGTGATCAGGAAGGAATAGCAGCCTGTGTTCTGGACCACAGTTTCTTCAAGAGGCTTGTCCCCTCCACATTCCTCCATTGCCCGGTCTTTCCTTTCAGACCCAAAGAATCCTGTTTTGTCTAGATTACTGGCTCCCTGGATTGGTAAGTATGTGTAATCAGGACTGCTATTCTGCCAGGTATACTTACCAAGAGCTATCTGTTTGGCTACCACAAAATAACAGCTAACCAGCACTATATTACCACCCTCATCTCTGAATCAAGCCTGATTTCTCTTCTAATAAAACCTTTACCCCTTCCAGTGGTGGTGATGGCCCCCCTGAAACTCAGCTTCTTCACATCACTTTTCAGTGCTCTCCAATGTGTACAGGGTAATATTCATTTATGATCTTCTATGACCTGCTCCTCTACCCTACTTCAGCCTTTATCTCATAGCTGTCATGATGACATCCAATTTACTTGCCATTTTGAGAAACTGACGTTCCTGAAATGTACTGACCTTTCTTGCCTTTGGCCATAATTTGCCTTATTCTGACACCCTTGGTTCCTCCCAAATTGTCCTGAGTCATCTTTCTGATTCCACCTTCCCTCCCCACAATACACCTTTCTGCGGTCCAGGATATGGTTTGCTCCTGCTGAATGGGCAGACCTGGTTACAACACAGGCGGATGCTAACCCCAGCCTTCCACTATGACATCCTGAAGCCCTACGTGGGGCACATGGCAGACTCTGTCCGAGTGATGCTGGTAAGTCCATCCCTTCTCACACCCACATGCAGCACAGCTCCTATAGTCCACGCTAGGATAAGTGTGTCCTTCAGACATCTATCACACATAACTGGTTAGAATAATATGCTCGTATCCCACAATGTGACAGAGCTTCCCAAAAGTGGATGGAACAGGAGTTACCTGGCACCAACTTGGATCCACACTACTTTGGTCATTGCCAAGAGAAAGCAGAACCATGGTAGAAACAGAGTCTGCTTTCCTCTCACCTCCAAGTCTTCATCACAGTGGACTAGAGCCTTGGTTGGCAAACTGTGGCTCTTGAGCCACATGCTGCTCTTTGGCCCCTTGAGTATGTCTCTTCCACAAAATAACACAGCCTGCGTGAGTCTATTTTGAAGAAGTGGCATTAGAAGAACTTTAAGTTTAAAAAATTTGACTTTCAAAAGAAATTTCAATTGTTGTACTAATGATATTTGGCTCTGTTGACTAATGAGTTTGCCAACCACTGAAATAGAGCAATAGTCATTCCCCTGGACAACAAGACAAGTGGCCACTGGCAGTCCTGGGCAGTGGCAGCTTCAGAGACAGGATGGACATCCCAGGATGTCTTTCAGGTGGGCTCTGGCCTGGGTACCAGGGTTTGCTTCAGCATGAAATGGAGCCACTCCATGGAAGGAAATGGAGATTACATTTGCACTCACAGACCCGGATCCTGATTCTATCAGCTATGCTCAGCTAACATTTGATGAAGGGAAGAAATTAACATCCCTCATGTCTAATTCTTAGCAGCCCCAGTATTGGTCTCTTGTTACCTCTTACCTTGACACATTTGCTACATAGAGTTGAAGTGTACTTATCCCTCAGGTTTAGCTCAACCCCAGGACAGATAAGATTCCCAAACTGTTGCCTGAGTAACAATGTTTTTTGGTTTGGCAAAAGGTAATATCGATCATAACTTATTCCTAAAATTCAAAACTAATTCAGACTCTTATGAGGGAACCTGTTTAATTATATAATCACGGTTTCTAGAGTACAATACTCACATGACATGTTTGTTGTACAGTCTTAATATGTTATAATGCCTCTATTCAGGACAGTGAGGTATTGGGAAAAGCTGAGAGAGAAAGAGCTTAGCCAGGTCAGCAGAGGCCCTCTGGGGGAGTAGAGGAGGTCAGTGTCCCCTCCCACCACAGGACAAATGGGAGGAGCTCATCAGTCAAGACTCTCATCTGGAGATCTTGGAACACATCTCTTTGATGACCTTGGACACCATCATGAAGTGTGCCTTCAGCCAGCAGAGCAGCATTCAGTTGGACAGGTCAGTGATAATCATTCAGCTACAGGGCTTTTGTTTTACCACCTGACATGGACTTACTGGAGAGGCAGTTTAGGAAGCTTGGATGCTAATGAGCACAATAAGCCAGAGTCTGTCCAGGGCTCCTAACCACAGACAATTCCAGATCAGACCAAAATTGAATCAGCGACAGATCGCTAGCAAGGGAGAAGTCTGATTGCTCTTGGCACTTAGGAAGGGTTGAGTGTCTCAAAGGTTGTAAGACAGGAGCAATTAATGCCTCAGTGTCATCTGTACCCACTGTTTGGTGAAACTCCCACCGAGAGCCCCACTTTACCTCTAGGTCAGAGGCTCCCCAATACCTTACTCTGTTCTATATTTCTGCCTGCAGGAAATACCAATCCAAATCCTACATTAAGGCCATTGAGGTTATGAAAAATCTTTTTTATTCTCGAGTGAGGAATTTCTTCTACCAGAATGACATCATCTACTCATTGACACCTGATGGCCTCAGGAACAAGTGGGCCTGCCAGCTTGCCCATCGACACACAGGTTGGACTCCACCTCCTGGGCTGCTCCCCCTCCTTCATCATGTACATTTCAAAGGGACTGGCTCTGACCTCTACCGTCCTTTGGGTGCTAAGGCATACCCCACTGAATACTTACCTGGTTCAGAGCTTGGGAATTGAAATATATGGTGCAGTGGACTGTGGTGGTGTTCCCATGGGCATGCTATACAGGAGAGGCCTAACTTGACATCAGATGGAGCTAGACCTCTCACCTCTTATGTGCATACCTCTCCCATACCCATCCTGATTCACTGGCATCCATATTGGAGCAGGGGGAGGGGCTGGTGGGGCCACTGAGGGTCACTCTTTCTGGCCACCCAGAGCACTCAATTATGCCTGGGAACCATTGTTCTGGTACAGACCAAGTGGTCAAACTGAGAAAGGCGTATCTGCAAGATGAGGAAGATCTTGAGAGGGTCAGGAGAAAGAAGAAGTTGGATTTCCTGGACATCCTCCTCTTTGCCAGAGTAAGTGTCTGTAGGAGGGGCCTGAGGCTTTGCCCAGAAGGGCAGAGGAGGGGGCAAGAAGTGCACTCTCACCTTCCTTTTCCAGATGAAGAATGGAAGTAGCTTGTCTGACAAGGACCTTCGTGCTGAAGTGGATACATTCATGTTCGGGGGACATGACACCACAGCCAGTGGCATCTCCTGGATTCTCTATGCTCTGGCTTCCCACCCAGAGCATCAACAGAGGTGTCGCCAGGAGATTCAGAGCCTCCTAGGGGATGGTGCCTCCATCACCTGGTGAGTGCTCAGGAGATGGGAGAACCCTACCCACTCAGCTAAACAGTAAGCTCTGGTCTGCCTGGGCCCTGCCTGCCCTCAGATTGGGCTTCATTCATTTCAGGGATCATCTGGATCAGATGCCCTATACCACCATGTGCATTAAGGAGTCACTGCGACTCTATCCTCCTGCACCAATAGTTGGCAGAGAGCTCAGCAAGCCCATCACCTTTCCTGATGGACGCTCCTTACCCAAAGGTCTGAACTTCACCATACTCACTAACCCAGGAATTCTGCAGGAACCCCTGGCAGATCATATCCACATGTCCTAGAGCAGTTCTGAACCTCTCTGATCTAGTTTCTTCATCATTAATTGGGTACTTACTATATAGTTTATATGAGGAATTTGAAATGCCTGGCACTGAGTTGGACCAAAGCAGAAGTTCAATAAATAGTAGTTCTCCTTCCAACTCAGAGACAATAAATCATTCACCTAAATAGGGTCCATGCCAGTATGACACCTCACATGAAGAGAATCCTAAGCATTATCATTCTCCAGGACTAGCATTCCATCACATGTAGGACCCATGGTTTTATAATGCTACAGTAATTCCATTGGATGGCACTGATGCTCTATAATTCTAACACTCCAGGTTCCCATCCCAATGCCAGATTACAAGACTCTAGGGGCAATTCTGTCTGTGCGATCACATCAATTTTAAAATCTGCCATAACTAGGGGCAATTCTGTCTGTGCGATCACATCAATTTTAAAATCTGCCTCGTTGAGTTGATTTCTGCGTCTTTGGCTGGTGGCATGCAGGTTAACCCTGTGTCTCATAGAGCTGGGATGGGTCCATGTGTTTTGCTGAGTCAGACAGGGCTTGTGGCCCAGGGCCCTGGCATTGCTTTCCTGGAGGATGACGGGTGGCCTTTTCGAGCATCTTTGCAGAACACATTGCTTTTTCTTGATGTGGCTTTTGGTTTTTACTCTAATATTCGAATTCTCTCAAGGGTAGGTGTAGATACAGTTTCTTTCTTATGGGATCTAAGCAAGTGAGGAAGATCAGGAAATCCACTGTCATGGGGCTGATGGACCGGTCCCTAAGGAGCCCTTAGGTTGCTATCAGAGAACAACTGATGACCAGATCTGAGAACCTTGCTATGGTTGAAGCCACCCCTTAGCTCACCTTTAGTCTGAATTCCAACCTGCCACATTCTAGCTGTGTGATCATAGGCAAGTTACTCAACCTCTCTGAAGCTCAGGTGTCTCATCTGAAAAATGGGGATATTAGCACCTCCTTGGAGGGTTGTGGTGAGAATAGATGAGTTAAAGGGACTCATGGATGGCACTTGATAAATGTGAGTTTTACCTTGAGTTGCTCCAAAAGTAGGCCTTCACTACTTTCTTCTTCCTCCTCCTCATACGTGGGTCATAGCTATAGACTCCTAATGTGTACACATGTGCTTTGCCATGTCCACTCCACCTCTATTGCAACAGGATCAATCCAGTTGGAGTGACTCATTGTGGCTCCCAAGCTTTTTGTGCATGCACCTGCCCCCTGGTGGCATGTGCATAATCAGTCTTCTCTCCTCTCCCTGCCCAACAGGAATCCATGTCTCACTTAACATTTATGCACTTCACCATAATCCAAAAGTGTGGCCTGATCCAGAGGTATGGTGGCTGTGAAAGGGAGGATGGGCTGTGTGAGGGAGGAGGAGCTGATCTCTCTAGACAACACCTCCTCCTATGCCCTCATGGATTGGAAGAAGGGGCTTGACCTTACCTGTCCTGGTCCTACTGCTCTCTCTGCAGGTGTTTGACCCTTCCCGTTTTGCACCGGGTTCTGATTCACACAGCCATGCTTTCCTGCCCTTTTCAGGAGGATCAAGGTGAGTCATCCTATACTTGGGTGGTGCACATCACCAAGGGCATACCTTGATGATTGTGACCTACATTTATATGTGGTGTCTGTTCTTATGCCCTGGTATATTGTTGTGTTGAGAAGGAGGTATTTTTCTATATGTACAAAAGAAATGTGACATTTCAGGGCAGGGCATAAACACTTAATCCCCTAATTTTTTCTCAAAAGCTATTGATTGCCATTTTTTTTTTTTTTTTTTTTTTTTGCTTTTTGTCAACGTTGGACTGTGTGGACAGTGGAATGATGGTATATAAATCCCACTTCATATATAGAATTTTGCCTGCTAGAGATGTCATGGTTATGTGAATGTTAATATGAAATCCAACTTTTGTTAGGAGATTGCAAAAATAGAGAGGCATATTGGTCCAAATAGATATATTGGTTCAAAATTCCTCAAATGACTATTTTCCCAATGGCCTACCACAATTCAGTGTTAGTCATTGTTTTAAAGTTGAGTGATTCTAGCAATTTTCTGGCTTCAGGAATGTGACTTCTCAGAGTTAAAGTTTTTTATACAAATTAAACTTCAGATTGTTTTTCTCAGTTATCAGTAAAAAAATGCTTTGTTTTGTTTTTCTCTTCTCTCAGTGCAGTCCAGGAACTGCCTTTTCTACTTCACTGATTTGTGATATTTGGATGTCTTTGGATTTTAGTACCTTCTTTGTCCTAACTGCTCAAGCCCTAATCATGAAAGGACTACTAGCCATTTAAGAGAGTTTCACTCCAATCTGTCCTACAAAAGCTTGACTGTACATTGATATTCACGTAAATGCGACTAATATATTATCCTATAAAAGCTTGACTGTACATTGATACTCACGTAAATGCGATTAATATATTGATATTCACATAAGCATGTTTTGTATATTGATATGCACAAAAGCATAAATACTTTTCCAGGACAAATTTCTTCATAGAAAGTGGGTTGTATATAGCAAAGTTCCAAAGTTTACACAGGCCAACCTTGGCAAAAAGAATAAAAATAGGACAGTTACTGCTTTGAGGGAAAACCTTCTACTTTGCATATGACATATAGCATTTGAAAGGCTCCTGGTGTGTAAAATATAAGGCATACCTGAAAGAACTGAAATCGAGTTGGATGAGTATTCTCCAGAATGCCTACTGTTTGAAAATCTGCAAAGGCTACAAAAGTGCCCCTGTAAAATAGTAACTGCCATAAACTTTGTACTTGATTACTAAAAATAAGCTTTTCTGCCCTACCTGCTTTGGCTCAATAGTTAGAATGTTGGCCCAGGGACTGAAGGGTAACAGGTTTGATTCCTGTTAAGGGCACATACCTTGGGTGCAGGTAGTCCACATTGATGTTATCTCTCTGTGTCTTTCCCCAAGCCTTCCACTCTCTCTGAAAAATCAATAGGCAAAAAACACTTGGGTGAGGATTAACAAAACAAAAAAAAAGGGGGGGGGGTGCAAAAAACAAACTTTTTAAAAATCCATAAGTTTATGAATTCTTCAGATGGGAATCAACTTTTATAGAACACACATTTTACAAATTGTTCTTCCTGAGATTGATTGGCTGTACCATTTGGTTTCTCCCAGGATTGAGTCCTTCCTCATAAACCTTGGCTTGAAGTCATGTGGCTGCCACTAGAGGACAGGAGAGCACTAGGCAGCTCAATCCCTAGCTCAGAACTCAGGTTTACTTTTTTCTTCTTCTTTCAATGTTAATTTACTTTTTCAATTCAATTGACTTCATTCAAATATAAATGTATTTATTAAGCCTGTGCTATATGCCAAGTCTTGTGCTAGAAGATGGGAAAGATACTGTCGCAGCCTCTAGGAGTTCACAGTCAAGAAACAAATGCAAGTAGACAATACAATATTCATTCATTCACTCAATAAGCACACTGTTGAATGTTCCATTTTCCTTGCACTGTTCAGTGCACTGGATGTTGAGGTATCCTATCTAATAATAAATATGCAAATTAACCATCACTCTGCCACAAAAAATGGTGGCCCCCATAGCCACAAGTTGGCAGCGCCCAGTCCCCTCAGCTCTGCTGCTGGAGTGTCTGGCCTGTCTGCAGGAGTAGCTAGGCTGGATCCCTATCTGGAGGGGTTTTTGATCCGCCCCAGACACAGTCAGAGCCTGGACATCAGTTAGCGCTGTTGCAGCAAACAGAGCCTGGAGAGCAGGGCATGGAGGCTTCCTTACCTCAGCGGCAGCAGGAAATCCCCAGGCCCAGCAAGCAGAGCCCAGATAGCAGGGCATAGGGGCTTCCTTAGCAAGGTAGCAGCAAGAACACCCCCAGACCCAACAGACAGAGCCAGGACAAGAGAGCATGGGGACTTTTTTAGTGTGTTTGTGTCAGCAAAGCCCCCAGGCCTGACTGAGGGGATGAGTGAGAGGCAGGAGTCTGGACCATTTATTGGGAGGCATGGGGTACAACTACTTGAAACCGGCTAATCCGTGGGTTGTCCCAGGAAACTCTCTGTTCATGGCAAGGGCTAAGTGACAAATGCCTGCCCAGTTGAAAACAGGATTTGATATAATTTTTTTTCATGTTGTTTTCCTTATATTCTCATCTTGGCCCAGGAACTGCATTGGGAAGCATTTTGCCATGAATGAGTTGAAGGTGGCTGTGGCCTTGACCCTGCTTCGTTTTGAGCTGGCGACAGATCCTCTCCAAGTCCCCATCCCCCTCCAAAAACTGATCTTGGATTCCAAGAATGGGATCCACCTGCTACTCAAAAAGCTTGTCTAGACCTTGTTGGGACAAGGGCAAGCTCTGAAGAACTCCTTCCTGCCCTTCCCTGTCTATCTCCCCAATTCCTGCTTTCCATCTGCACACCTGCCCTTCCACCTGATGTCCTCCCTCAGGTTCTTTGCCTGTCTGCTCCTTTCTCTCTACTTTTCACTTTTTGCCTGCTGTCCTTCTCTGAATTAGTCTCCTTTATCTGCTATAATAATTTACCACAGCATCAGTGACTTAGAGCACCACAAATTTCTATTCTTAGGGTTCTGGAGTGAGACGTCTGACATAGGTTTCACTGGACACAACCAAGGTGTGGGCAATGCCATACAAAGTTCAGGGCTCTAGAAATATTCCCTGTCTTTGTCTTTCCAGAATCTGCATTATTACTAGCCATCCAGAATATTCAAATCCAGCAGCATTGTCAAATGTCTTCACATTACTTTCTTTCTTATGAGGACACTTGTGATTACATGGGCTACCCAGATGAAACAAGACATAGTCACACCTGGTGGGGAATAGATCATGGACATCTGGGGAGCCATTCTTCAGCCTAATTGGTCCCCATCAATTAGTGTTCCTGGTGGCCTTCTTGTGTTTCCTACCTATTTGTCATCTCCATACCTTCTCCTTCCTTCTTCTTCTATGAAATAAAGTTTACAACGTTATGTTATGTGTCTGTATTTCTTTTTCTCCTTTGTTTTTTCTTCCTGCCACATTTGGTGACTACCGGTATGTGGTTGATGGTCCCCTGACCCTGGGCTCTTTATTCCCTTTTTATTCCTCCATCAGCCTCTCAACCTAGCCTTGTTCTCTTCCTGGTTCTGAACGTAAGTCCTCCTCCTATCCAACCTCATGCCATTCCTAGATCAGAGTCCTGAATGCCATAGACAGACCTCCTGACACACCTCCTGTTGCAGTAGGATGCCTATTTCTGCTTCCCTGAAGGCCTTCTCCTCCAACCAGGCTCTCCTTCCCAGTCCCCTGGCCTCCCAGGTCACTGCTCTAATAAGGGGCATGATGGACATGCAGTGTTTGACTGAAATACAGAACAAGAATGTGAGCTGGGAGCAACCTGTAATGGATCTTCGGCAAGTCCCTGGACACCAGGTGGTGCAGTAGGATTTAGTGGCCATCCTAAGAGAGCACAGGACAATGGGAACTTCGAATTCTGGGTGGTCAGCCATGTCAAATGCTCTAATCACAAAATTTCACAGAAATCAGGGGAAGGACCAAGAAGTAATACTGGTGGCTTCAGACAATGGGACAAACCCAGGTTGAGTTCATGGTCTCATGAACATTTGCATGACACATACATAGAGACACTCCTGTGCAGCTACACCATGTGTGCCCTCACACCACACACTCATGCCATAAGTACCTGGGATCAGAGAGGGAGCAGGGTGTGTTAGAGAACTGGAAGGATAGAGTGGAATTCATCTTGGTGCTCTCTGGTTCCCAACCTCTGTCCTACCCTTCCTCTTGGGAATCTCTGCTTTCCCTTTAGCTCCAGAACTCTCATGTCTATTTCTCAGCAACACATTCCCTCAAACAGAGTCAATACTACCTATGGAATTTTGGTTAAAGAATCCAAAAACTGAAGGCTTAGCTCATGTTCCTTCCTGATGAGCATCTTGACAAGGTCCTTTCTTTAATATTGAAGTAGGATAATGGCCTCTAATTTTGCCTCACAGGCCTCCTGAAAGGCTAAAGATAAGAAAAGGAGACAAGTTTTAATGTTGGGCACCACCCATGGGCCAGTTTTGTTATGACCACTGGGCTCATAAACCAGGTAACAGCTTTGAAATTATCTTCACTAGTGCAGAGTAAGGTCTATCCAGGGTCAGGACAGACAGAAATGTTGGTGGCATAGTGAACACTCTGGCTAGATATCTGCATCCCAGCTTTAGATGGTCAAGAAGATCTAGGTTTTAACAAGGCTTTGCAGGAGCAAGCAGGTGCCCATGGCCAACCTTCCAGGACTGTGGCCTTCTTCTGAGAGGGGAGGCATCAATACCAGGAAGGATGTGTTACAAGATGGTCCATCCTGGGCAACATAGAAACAGCCCCACATTCCAGAGCTATAATTATCCTCTTTTGACCATGGCATCAGGTGCCTTCCCTTCTATACATGTCTAATTCTTGGATTGGAGCTCACTTATGCCCTTAGATCTTGACCATAGAAGTATATGTTCCATCAGGCATCTGCTGCAGGGACTACAGGAGAAGAATCTCTGCTTTCTCATATGGTCCCAGCCTGAGATGGTCAAATAAATTCCTTCTTTGCACCTCATACCTTACCCAGCCTTAAGGCCTGTTTTAAGCTCCAAATCTTCCAGGAAGCTCTACTCTATCATTCTGCCACCTTCCCCAGCCAAAGCCCATACACCCAGAGAATCAGGTGACTGTTACAGACATTGACAAGGACACCAGTGCCACACAGATCATCTCAGGAGGGCAGAAGACATACCTGTGAAATCATACTCCATATTTGTTGACATTGGCACTGGTTACTTGTGTTGCTTGCTTTAGAAATTTATTGCTCTTTATTATTATTTTTGCTTCAGGCCAATTCTCCTTATGCTATTTTACAAAAAACACATCCATATAGTTAAACAAAGACACCATCAAAGTGCTGTTGGTCATCATCACACCTACTTCATGTTCCGCCAGCACTGGGAATAACATGCGATATGTGTAGAATGAAATTAAAAAGAACTGAACCCATCCCAGCACAAGCAGAATAGGCAAAGACTCCAATAACTACTATACTTTTTGCTTTTGAATCACTGATCCTCAAGGCAAGTTATTCATAACATTATGCTACAGTAGTAACCACTACCAGTCATTGGATGCATATCATGGGTCAGATACACAGTTGAACATTCTGCAAAGCTCCAAAAAGGTTGTATGGGTCGGCCCTGCATAGCATCACAGTCTATGTGGATGGTGCCTCCTGAAGTTTTCCAGGGCATTACCTGCATAGTGACCCATGACAGCCCTGATGATTTAGTCCTAATAATAACCCTGCAAGGAGGATGCCTATTTCATAGATGGGGAAAAAGAGGCTTAGAGGTGGAGAAATTAACTCCTGTTATAGAGCCAAGATTGGACCCAGGCCAAACACAAAGCCTGAGTTCTCTGCCATTGGTGCAAAGTGAGCCAAAGGCATAGTGAGTGTCAGAGAAGCATCCTCATGAACTCTCATTTGAGCCCCAAATCTATACCATCACACCTACAGATAGAGAGCGGCCATCCACAAAGCTGACAGGCTTGTTGAGCTGGTGGCATACCTGGGGCACGGGAGGGTAAAAGTGAAGGCTCTTCTTGATGTACATGGTCCAGTAGGTCATCTTGCCCAGATCATTCCTGGAGATAAGGAGCCACAGGGTCCTATGGGAAGGCAGCCTCCAGCCCCATCTGCCCCCCCACAACATGACAACCCCGAATCTCAGAGGAACACAAGTGCACCAAGTGGACATGGGTGGTCACTCAGACCAAGGGTTCTGACTCCACATTTTTCTATCCCTCCCTCATCTTCACTGCTGGGAAGGGAAAGCCCAGGACCCTAGGAGTGTGTGCACCCAGTCATCAAAGACAAGGTCACTCCTGTGCCTCTCAGAGGCCCACAGAAGCCCCATAAGAGAGAGATGTTTGGTTCTGTTTGGATTCCCCTCTGGAGCTGGAATGGAAAAGAACAGAGGCTAATATTCATAGGTTGGATGAAGTAATAAATGCATTAACAATGACAATATATACATTTCTCTTTTCCCTTTGCCAGTAAGAAAGTTCAAACCCAATGCCAGGAAACAATAACTACTATGCAACACCTTATTAAAGATGCACTAGGTTTCCCCTCATACTATCCCTGTCCTTATTTTTCATTTGTGCTTTACTATTTTATTGAGTAAATATCTTTGAATTGCTTCAAGATAAAATGAAGGAAAAATTTTAAAATGTCAACTCCCTTCTCCAGGCTGTGTTCATGTTGTCACCCAACTTAAAATGCCCTGTTCTCTTTTCCTTTGTCAGAGCTTCACCCCTTTCTAGAAAGCCAACTTTAGCCCCACCCCTTCTGATTTCTCTGCCTGCACCATGGGTTCATTCATTCTTTGTTTTTTCTCTTGCTTTTTAGTTATGTCAGTTAGTCTCTCTAAAAACATCCAAAAACAGCAAATTGGATCCTATTTCTCTTCTTTTCATATACACCCTCGACAGCACCTAACATGTGGCTGGACACCCTGGAAGATTTCCAACATCCAATCAATAAAAATAAGTAAAAAAGATTTCATCCCCCAAATCTTAGACTCTGGTATTGTGTGTGTGCCCTTTAAATGTTTCTAAACTTCCTTTATCAGCTGAGCATTTTTTGCATCCCTGCCCAATGTCTAGCCCAAGAGAGGAGAAGACAGGGTGAGAGGAATGTGGGGGCAGAGATGTGAGAGGTTTTTAGAAAGCCAGATGAAAAAAAAAAAAAAAAGTTAGCATCAACGATGTTGTGTTAATGAGTTCAACTTGAATTGGGAGACAGAATAATTCCAAGTTTCTGACTGATGGATTTTGGAAACCAGCATTTTTTCCTTCACCAGAAGAGCTTCAGAAGGCAGTTGGGAAAGGATCAGCTCCTTGTCTTTCCCAACTCTGTTCATCTTCAATTTGCATCTCTTTCTCTCCCAGCATTCCCTGTTTTCTCCAGGAACCCAAAGGGGTAGTCATTCTACCAGCAGAGTCAACATTCAAGAAATTGGCTTCCTGTTGACAACCTTCTCCATGTTACTCACACTGGAAAAAACTCAGTAGTTGGAGAAGGGGCTCAAGGGAGCATCCTCCCACTGTAGGTAACAGGACAGCTGTGCTGCCTTCACCTGGTTTCCAGGATGGCCCTGTTTCATCTGCGATGACATCAGACAGCACAGACACAGCTGGCAGCTGAGCAGGACACACTGGGAGGGGTCCCTATCCCTGAGGACCTCACAGACCTTTCTCCTACAGTGCTGCTGGTGTTCTGGGTT